ACTCCATTGGCTCCACATTTTAGGCTCTCTGGTAAACAGTCTCCTACTACAGCGGAAGAAAAGGTACGCATGGATCGTGTGCCTTATGCTAGTGCAGTTGGCAGTTTGATGTATGCCATGGTGTGTACACGCCCAGACATTTCACAGGCGGTTAGTGTGGTCAGTAGATTCATGGCGAATCCGGGGAAGGCACACTGGGAAGCTGTGAAGTGGATCCTGAGGTACTTAAAAGGTACCGCGGATACGGGTCTATGTTTTGGTGGAGATGCATGTCATATAAGTGGGTTCGTGGACTCGGATTATGCAGGTGATCTAGATAGATGACGATCTACTACTGGATATGTGTTTTGCATACATGGTGCCCCAGTTAGTTGGCGATCGATGTTACAGGCTACAGTTGCTCTTTCTACTACAGAGGCCGAGTATATGGCCATGGCAGAGGGAGTGAAGGAAGCATTGTGGCTATGGGGTCTTCTAGATGATTTGGGGATTGAGCAGGATTGTGTGGATTTGTGGTGTGATAGCCAGAGTGCGATTCACTTGGCTAAGAATCAGGTTCATCATGCTCGAACCAAGCATATTGACGTCGGGTATCATTTTGTGCGTGATGTTATAGAGGAAGGTGATATTTCACTCTCGAAGGTGCACACAAATGAGAACCCAGCTGACATGTTAACCAAAGTGGTGACGGGTAGCAAGTTTCAACATTGCTTGGACTTGCTTCACATTAGTCCATGTTGATATGCCCGAGAGGGCATGGCCCTTCGGGGCGAGGTTGAAATGAGGTGGAGTATATGAAGGTGGAGGTGAACTACGGAGGCTTGATCCCGAGTTTTGGGTACGTAGGCAATCATGGTTTGAATGATGCAGCCGAGTTGGTGCTTGCTACTTCTTCTTGTGTTCGTCCAAAATTTGAGGTCTATCAAATGATGTATGAGGTGGAGAATTGTGAGAAGAAGAGAAGCTGAAGAATGAGAAGAAGAGAAGCTGAAGAAGCTGGAGGAAGAGAAGCTGAAGGAGCTGGGAAGGAAGAGCAAGCAGCGCCTAGGCGCTGCCCAGTTTCTGCTTCGATATATATCCATTCTTTTTCCCTCTTTCAATATACAACACAAGACTAGACCTAGAGAGAAAAATTAGAGAGAAAAACTTTGGTGAGAATTTTACAAGTTGAAGGTGTTCATCTTGGGTATAAATTCAAAGGTATTTTCTTTCTTGGGGATTAACTTGAGACTTGTTCAAGTAATCCAAACACATTGATCTTCATATATTCCATTGAAATCATTTCTTCCTCATTTTCTTGTTCTTTAAGTGTTTTGGAAATTTTCACTTTGTCAACTTAGTTTGATCTTTGGACATTGATTGGGAGGTGTTTTTCCAACATTTACAATCATTATTGTATTTGCAGAAGGCCATTTACTATTTCCTAATGCTCAATTCTTTAAATAAATGGGAACATTTCTTTCTTTAATATTTGCATATTAAATAATAGGAAATTTCATGTAACGTCCCAAAATTTTATAATATAGAATTATTTAGTGGTAAGGATTTTCACCTAGGCATATTTTGATAATATTGAAATGTTGGAGGACTAAAGTAAAATAGTATTAAACTCAATTTTATTTTGACCAAATAATTAGATTTTGATAAAGCGAGTGTAAGTATATTGATATTAGACTCATTGTGGAGATTGTAATTAATTAGGAGTCGTTTAACCATACTTTTGCATTTTTTGAAAGGTAGAAGGGTAAGTTGCTATTTTCGAACATGGAATGCGGAATGTGGCCAACACCTTGCCCGGCCACCTTTCCCTGCTTGTTGAACATAGCTTATAAACATTTTAACACTTGACTACATTGTCGATGTAGGACAATGTTGTTAATATGAATCAAGTCATTGAACGAAGGAATCTCCTACTCTGATTTCCTCCGATGCAAATTTCCTGTGTTACTCGTGCTTGATCATTTGATACCAGTTAGTTAATGGAGGCGACAAAGATTTTCATTTCTCTGGTAAACATTCTGCAGTTTTGGTTGATATTGTGATTTTTGCCATTGCATCCTTTTTCTCCCTAAATTTTGTAATTGTTTAGAGGTTCATTTTGCCAAGAGTGTAATTTTTTATTTAAAAATTAAATCAAAAGAATGGAAAAGTATTTAATGTAAGGAAATAGAATTCTATGAGGTTAAAAGGCAATTCTTATCGTTGATGACTGTTACTCAAAATGGATTTTCATTGACTAAAACGGTAGTCTGCTAAGTAGCAGTTTTTGTGCTTTCTATGGTTTTCTCAGTTATTTTTCTTGAATTTGCACGTGGTAAACTTCAATGTGGCTGTATACTTATATGTAGAATGTGGCAGACGTCTTTCCAGGCTACCTGTCCCTTACTGTTTGAACATTACGTATAAACACGTTAAGATTTCAGTACGATATGGGACAATGATGATGATGAATTGATATTCCCGTAGATCAACAGTTTCATGAAGTGATGCTCTGAGGTTTTGAAGAAAAGTGTTATAGAGTGCCTGAAATAGAGTTTAGGAGTCCATCGGATATCAGATGAATCTGAAACCTTAATTTTTCTGAAAAGAAGTTCAGAGATAAATCTGAATTGTAGAACTTTATGTTTCTTTAGTTGTCTACGTTTTGGTTTGTACTTTTTAACCGAAGTCCAGTATGAATTGCTTGATTGTTTGATATGATTTTCCTGAGGAAACGCATTTGTTCATTCATATGTATGACAGAAATGACAAATGGCTCCACTATTTTGGTATAACCATACATGTCATTGTTTATAATCATACATCTTGCATTTCTTTGAGGTCATTCACTATTTGGATATTAGTTGACCCTTGATATTACTATATTTTCCACCAATTATTTCCACAATGAAGACTAGAGGAAAATAAGTTTTCTCAAGGATGCTATTTTCATTTATTGCAAACTTAAAATGATTTTTGTTGCACTATATATATAAATATCTGCATTGTATGGTTTTTATAGTATTTTGTCAATTTGATGAAGTGATTCAAAGGAAACTTAGGAGAAAGCATTTTTAAAGAGTTCCCCTAATGCAGTCTGGAAACTTTCCTCTATACACAATTTGTTGCTCTGTAAATGGTTTCTCAAAGAATGTGGTGAAAGTTTACTTGAAAGGGAGCATGGCGGTTTGTTGGCTTATGTCTAAGCATATTTTTAACAAATGTTAGTTAGTAATTGTGTTTATAAATGGGTAGAAATCAGTTGTGGATAAATGGATTTACTTGTGGGTCTAACGAAATGTGGATAAAAAGTGGTTTGACTTTTACCGTTTATAAACACTTGCCAAACATATTCTAACTATTGGGTTTATGTGATTAATAGATTAGCACGTAAGTCTAAAGACGAATATGATTTATAGTTTCTTCTATTTCTTTAGCTATTTAAATTATCTGGTATATTTCTATGTCTCGATTACTAAGGAAAAAGCTTGTTCAAATAGTTTGTTAATTTTCTTTAGGTCATTTATTCACTTCTAGAATATTCTTTATTGTTCCTTTTGAATGTTAATGTCTCAATCTTTGTTTGTTATACTTTCTGCATCCACATTAATTGTTTATCCAGAATGCAATCTCTAAGTTGAGCAATCTCTGTTTTGCTTTGAATGAGATTTTTGCTTCATTTTGTTCTTTCTTTTTACTAAATTAACTAAAATTATGTGCATTACGTTAATAGCCAATATATAATAGCTATATTTTCTCCACGCATTATATTGGTAGATCATTTTAAACAATCTTTTAGTGGCCAGATTGAGTTGTGTCCATTAATTCTAGCTATCGCTAGCTTCTTTTTGTATTTTTGATTAAAGATTTTGTTCAGTTTTTGGTTTGTATTTTGTTTTTTGTTTTACAGCCCTTTCACCTTCTGGACTTCGTGATAGTTTGGTGGGGGTAATTGCTAGTTGAAAATATTATCCATTCATGAAAGAATGAAAAAGAAATTAATGCAGAATGTATGTTGTCGCGGAAGTACTTCAATTCTTCCACAAAATGGGGCTGTTTTTCAATATCAACAACAATAAAACACCAACCAAAGATTGCTCAAACCCACAACTTTATTCGCTTCAGCTGCCTACTTTCTTGCACCCACAAAGGACACAATATCAATGTTTGATTGCAGCCACAAAGGAGGAAGAAGATGGAGGAAGCATTGATTAAACTCAGGCACAAAGAAGAATAGAATAAGCAAAGTCGGTTGCCTCAAAGTTTTCTTTGCAATTTACATGGTTGGAGCAAGGGAGAAAGCCACATTATGTAGTTTTTGGTTAGGTTAAGTTAGGCCAAAGACTAGATAAAGGGGTCAACACAATTGGACCATCCACAAGTGAATTGGGCTATAAGCAACCTTAATTAACTAAACTACTTCCAATGGCCCAAATTGTTTTGGGATTTGGCTAATCAATATGGTATTGATATAATTAATCCAACCCGTTTTAAATCATCCCTCGGATTTATTGGGTATCAAACCCAATGTATGATTCTTTGAATTTAGAAAGGCAATTAATGGTTGATGGCTTTTACTCTAAAAGTTTCGGTATTTACTCAAAAGGTAGTTGGGTAAGTCGCTGTTTTTGTGCTTTTCAAGGACTTTTTCCTGTTATTTTCAGAAAATTGTCATGGTACTCGGATGTACTCTTGAAAGTGGGGTGGCAGACGTCTCACCCAACTACCTGTCCGTTGGTGGTTGATTATTACTTATAAACATGTTTACACTTCTGTACAAAGTCGATGTGGGACAATGGCAATGATGGTTATCAAGTTATCTAACACAAGGGATGTACTCTAGTCTGCAAGCTGCCCTAGTAGCTGGTTTTTGATTGACTGATTGTTGATACTAGCCAACTGAGGAAACACATTCACATTCTTATGCATACTGGAAATGACTTGTGGGTTAGCATTTATGGTATATAACCAGGCATGTCATTTTTAATAATCAAAACTTCTGCCTTAGACCATGGCCACTCTATATTACTGGATCTCATATCTGGTGCTTAAATGTGCAGTAGCTTCAATTTATGATGTGAGTATGCATAAAGATTCCATTAATGAAGATTGTATAGCAGTAAGCATACTTGAGAAGGCTAGAACAATCAAGATTTTTCATTTCAATATTAAGATTAATTTATTTAACGGGGTTGATATTCCCATAGATCATCATTCTCGTTAAGTGAAGCCTTGAAAATTTTGGAGAAAGGGTGTTATAGTGTGCCTGGAATAGAATTTCGCAATCTATCAGATATTGTACAAGTCTAGAACATTAGTTTTTCAAAAAAAGAAGTTTCCTAAATAAATCTAAATTGTAAGAACTCTCTTTCTTTATAGTTGTGTGCACTTCAGCTCATTCTTTTCTACAGTAGTCCGTTTGAATTTTCATGTTTTTGTTGTACGTGAAAATTAATTTTTTTTCCTTTTTATTTTTTTTATTTTTTTGGGAACAAGATTACACTTTCTTCGGTTAGAATTGTTACTTTTGTGCTGTTGAACGACTTTTATTATTCCTTTTATTTTACTCTTTCCTTATATTAGAGTTGTACTTTTTATGTTAGTAGGTGTTTTATGAATTTTTATGGTGGATTACAAAAAAAAGGTTCACACCTGAAAGAAACAAATGAAATTTGAATAGTATTTGAAATAACATAGGTAATACTTATGGTCGATTACCTTCAAGTCAGTGCTTTTCTCAGTTACTCAGAAGTTTTGACATTAAATCCAAAGGTAGTTGAGTATGTTGCTATTTTTGAATATGTAATGTGACTGTGGTAGATTCCTTAACAGACTACCTAATATTATTGGTTGAACAAAACTTATGAACACATTGACATTTCGCTATATTGTCAATGTGGTACAATGTTTATTGATCTGCATCATGTCACTGAACCAAGAGGGATCTCCTACTGAGATTTCCTCCATTGCAAAAATCCGGGTCTCAGGCTCTTTATTGTTTGATATTAAATTTACTGAGGAAACACATTTGTTCATTCATATGTATGAAAAAACTTGACAAATGACTCACTTTTTTGGTATATAACCATACATAGTCTTATAATCATATTCCTTGCATTTGCTTGAGGCCATTCACTATTTGCATATTAGTTACTATGAAATTAAATACCACCATAAGGTAACGAAAGATAAATATATATCTTGTGATATTTGTATATTATATTTTTCATCGATTTTTTCTAAATATATATCTTGTGATATTTGCATATTATATTTTTCATCGATTTTTTCTATTATGAAGGACAGAGGAAAATAAGTTTTCTCTAGGATGCGATTTTCTTTTATTAGAAACTTAAAAAGATTTGTATTGCATTACCTCTATAAATTTTCACGTTGTATAGTTGTCATAGCATTTTGTCAATTTGATGAAGTGATCCAAAGGAAACTGAGGAGAAAGGATTTTTAGAGAGTTCCCCTAATAGCTTCTGGAAACTTTCCTCTATGTACATTGTAAGTGGTTTCTCAACAAATGTGGTGAAAGTTTACTTGAAGAGAAACTCGTCGATCCATTGGCTTGTGTCTAAGCATATGTTTGGCAAGTGTTTATCAATAGATGTGTTTATAAACATGTAGAAATAAGTCGTGGATAAGTGAATAGTACTTATGGATCCTATAAAATATGTGAATAAAAAATTATTTGACTTTTAGCATGTTTAAACATTTGCAAAACATACTCTAAATATTGGGTTTATCTTACTCAAATTTTGCGTGTAAGTTCAAAAAAAATATGATTGATAGTTTCTTCTATTTTGTCAGTTATTTAAATTATTTGGTATATTTCTATGTTTGTATTATTGAGAAAAAGTTTGTTGGAATGGTTCATTTTTCCAAATATTCACTGATTTTCTTTAGCTTTTTATCTTATTTATTTTTTTCACTTCTAAAATATTCTTTATTGTTCCATTTGAATGTGAATGTCTCAATCTTTTTTTGTTATACTTCCGGCATCCATATTTAGTTGTATATGCAGAATGCTATCTCTGGTTTGCTTCGAATGAGATTTGTTGTCCATTTTGTTCTTTAATCTTTACAATCTTAACTAAATAATGTGCATTTTAATTGTAGCCAATACATAACGGATATATTGTTAGAACATTTAAAATGATCTTTTAATGGCCTAATTAAGTCCATTAATACTAGCAATAACTGGCTTCTTTTGTATTTGTGAAAAACAAATGTTCAGTTTGTGGTTTGTACAGTGTCTGAGCTTCGTAAGAGTTTCATGGGCCAATTTCCCAAAAGGGTAATTGCAAGTTGAAAATAGTATTCATTCTTGAAAGAATGAAAAATAAATTAAGGTGGAAGGTATATGATTCTTTGATTTTATAAAGGCAATTCTTATAGTTGATGGCATTTACTAAAAAGTTCAACATTTGCTTAAAAGGTAGTTGGGTAAGTCGCCGACTTTTGTGCTTTTCAAGGACTTTTTGCGGTTATTTTTCATGAACATTGCCGTGATACTCCCGAACATGAATGTACTCTTGAAAGTAGTGTGGCAGACGCCTTAACCGACTACCTGTCCATTAGCGGTTGATTATTACTTATAAAGATTTTTATGCTTTTGTACAAAGCCTATGGGACAATTGTGATGATGGTCATCTAGACATTGAACATGACGGATATACTGTCATCAACTCCTCCACTGCAATATGATTAGTTACTGGTTTTTTGATAGATTGATTAGTTAACTATGGAAACACATTCACTTTCTTATGCATACCAGAAATGACTTGTGGGTTAGCACTTGTGGTATATACCATACATGCCATGTTTAATAATCTAAACTTGTGCCTTACACCATGGCCATCTCATATCTATTGCTTAAATGTGCAGTTATGATTTGAGCATGCTTCAAGATTTGATTAAAGAAGATTGTGTAGCAAGAACCATAATTGAGAAGGTTAGAACAGCCGAGATTTTTCATTTCAATATAAAGATTAACTTATCTAATATGTTGTTATTCCCATATATTATCTCTTTCTTGAAGCGATGCTTTGAAAATTTTGGAGAAAGGGCGTCACAATTTGCCTGAAATATAGTATTGCAATCTTTCATGTATTGGATGAATCTAGATCACTAGTTTTGCAAAAATGTAGTTATCCAAATTGAAGAACATTGTTTTTCCTCATAGTTGTCTACATTTTCTTGAATACTTCTTTGCAAAGTTCCCAGTATGAATTTGCATGCTTTTCCAGTACATGAAAGTTAAATTTCAGATATTTTTTTTTTTATTTTTTATTTTATGAGCATGATTACACTTTCTCCAATTAGAATCACGAATTTTGTGCAGTTCTACTCTTTCCTTAGATTAGATTTGAGCTCCTTTGCCTTGACGTAGCCCAATTTCAGTCTCAAATAAAGAGAAAAAAATTTGAGAGTCGAACAAATTCTCAGTAGTTCAAGTACTAATTAGTTTGATTTTGATTACAATTTCACTTATTTTGTTGCAGCCCACTTCCTACTTCCTAAACATTGGGAGCAAAAACGACTATGCCTATTGACTTAGGTGGTGTTGTTTTGGAGGTAGAAACAGTGTCTACTAAAACATCTTGAAAAAATCATCTTAGATGAAAAACATGGTATAAATCAAAGATATGGAAATTTAAAGCAGTTTGCAATTATTGTAAAAGGATTTGAGTAGGAAACCCAGCACGTGCACGTGCACAAGTCCGGCCTTGTTCAGGTTTCGAGTGTGGGTGGGGTCATTGTACTATATTAACTTTTTTGGACAAAATTTAATTGAATTTTTGGGTACTTAATGAAATTTATTTTGATTGACTTATTTTTGGGTAATTTTTTGGTATGAATAGTTTGTTAATCGATATAAAAGATGCAGTATTGAATTAAGCTGTCTATTTTAGTTTGAAGGCTGTTTAAACAGTGATGACTATTTTGAAAGATGTTCGAATGGTCACGATCAAGTCGATAAATAGCTTGCCCTGTTGCCAGAATAATTACACAACTTTCATTGCAAACGTTCTTTACTTTGAATCTCATTCTTCCTCTTTCTCGTTGTGATATTATTTTCGAAGTGAAAAATACTTCATTGAGTTTGTTGGAATTCCCGTGGATTACTGTGCTGTTTTTGTAAGAGGCGATATTTGTTCTATCTTAGGAAACAATTGTTGAACACCTCTAGCATCTTTGAAGGCAGTAAATTCGATTTAAGGATGTTCGAATGACCATGATCAAGTCAATAAATAGCCTGCCCTGCTGCCAGAATAATTACACAATTTTCATTGTAAACGTTCTCCACTTTGAATCCCATTCTTCGTCTTTCTCATTCTGATATTATTTTCGAAGTGAAAAATACTCCACTAAGTTCGTTGGAACTCTCATGGATTACTGTGCTGTTTTTGTAAGAGGCGATATTCGTTCTCTCTTGAAAAACGATTGTTGAACACCTTTCGCATATGAATTAATGTGGTGGAATTTAAAAGGGACATACTATGTCACTTTTTTTTTTTTAATAAAGTTTTACAATATTTCATTTATATTCTTTTTTGCATATATGGATAAAATTCACTTCTTTATCTATTATTGAGAAAAATTAGAACAAGATGACAAATATAAACGTGAAAAATGATTAAAATTGTTGGTTTAATAGAATGCAAATGCAACAACAATTGTTAAAACGTAAAATTTACTTTTTTTATTATTAAAAACTGTGACATTACAGTGACATATCATCACTGTTGTTTTGACAACAAATTTATGAAGTTTCAAAGTGTTAAAAAGCGAGATAAGAGTTGATATATATCACTGCTAAAAAATATCATGTCACATTTTTATACATATCATGTCCCTTTAAACCAATATTCATGTAGTATGATTAACTCTCAATCCTATATAGAAGATGAAAGAAAGGCTACTAAATGAAAAGTGACATAACAAAAAAATGACAAATATTGAAAGAAGTGATAAAATCTTTAAAAAGTGACAAAATCAAATTTGTGGGCATTTTTGAGCTTTCGGGATTTTGGGCGTAATTAATATGAGAATTTATAGTTCTAATCAGTTTTAAGGGTATTAATCTTGCTACTCAAACAGGGAATGTTGGTATAAAACACTTGGCATGCATTCATTGGGAGATAAATTTTTTTATTTTTTTATTTTTAAAAGCGAATAACAATTCGCCACATCAACTCTATCAACAATCCCTATCAAAATTCCCTATTTGAGTAGTTTAATTCAATATTCTATTGTTTGAGGATAGCGGACTTATTTTATTTATTTATTTATTTATTTTTACTAAAGGATATTTTAGGCAAATTGTATTTACTAATTAATAAAAGATTTATTTTATTTTTAATTTTTTGGTCAAAGTTTTTTATTTTATTTTTTATTTATTATTATTATTATTATTTTTGTAACTACAAATAACTTTGCAGAAGGGACTATCCTACCCAATTCCCACATTTGAATTTAATTCTAAGATAGATATTAATGGGAAATGCATACGATGGTTGGAAAAGTTATTAAATAGGATTTCCAACATATTTTATGAATTAAAATTTGGACGTTTCTCATTGAACCAAATAGGTCATATCTATGATTTTACTCACAAAATCATTACATTTTCATCTTTTCTTGTTTTACGTGCAATTTAGGGACCAATCACGTTTTGTAGATGTAGAGTTGGTAGAAACAAACTGCTACTTAAGCAATTCCATCTGTAACCCATGATTCTAGTTAGTTGGGATGAAAAGACAAATGCAAGGGCTAGTGTGATACAAGTTATTAACTTCATGGATTAAGTTCTTTTGTCAGAAAAATTATGACGTAAGGATCGATGAAATCCTATGTGGCGAAAAATAATTTTATGGAAAAGATGCAATGTTTTAAACAATTTTTCGATAGAACGCCATGTGACTTTATGTCAATCATTATGTCAATGATTCTGGTGCTGTAGCATGATTGTAACTTTATACCTTTTTCATACAAGGTACAAAGTTCAAGGACCAACCACGTCCTTTACCCTATAAATGTCTCTTTATGTTTACTTGTAGAAGGTTAATTTCTTCAATAGCCACTAACATTTTCACTTAGTTTCCCCTTAGCCACTAAACTTTAATTTATTTTAGAATCATCATTCAACTTTACAAAATGTTTCATTTAGACTACCAATGAGTTTTACGTCATAGAATTTAACTAAGAACCTTTACCTTTTGATGACTTGACTCGTGAACAATTAGGACTTTTAGTTAAATAAAAAATAAATATCAAATGGAATTAGTGGCTTGGACTAAATGTTTTGTAAGATTCACCAGTGAGTAGAGCAAATTAAAGTATAATGGCCAAATGACATTCAAAGCAAAATTTAGTCGTCTCCAGTAAACTTAACCCAATTGTAAAAAATAAAGGACAATTTTCAGTCAGAGAAAGGCCCGGCAGACAATTCAACAGTTTGAACTTTTGTTGTTTTTAGATGTCTCATCTACTGTTCGCTTTGTTGCTGCTAGAATTTACCTTATAAACGTGTTTATATTTTACTCAAGTTTCGATGTGGGATGATGGTGATCATAAAGTTCATATGTATGGCTGCGAAATGACAAATGGCTAACAAATTTTTGGTATATGACTTCACAAGACATTGTTTATAATCAGAACTCGTCCATTCTGTAAGGCCATTAACTTTTTCCTGCAGCTCAATTTCTTGATCAAATGACTGAATGAGAACTACTGCTAAGGGTAAAAAATTTACTTTTAAAGTACTGCTATAATTTCTGAACTTTTTAAATGTTTTACCTTGTTTGTTTTAAGTTAAAAATTATTTAAATTCCTATTATATATTCCTTTCACTTTGACTAAAACAATTTAAGGGGATAGGCAGATAAATTGTTGAGGTTTATTTCAGTTCTGTATTAGATGAATCATGGCTACCCATTCACTTACTGGTAGAACAAAACTCATAAACAGGTTTAGCATTTCATTCAATTTTCGATATCGGAAAATGTTGATGATCTATAAAAATCATGTATGGTTGTAAATGACCATGGCTTACCAATGATTTGGTATATAAACTTAAATGACATTGTTTACGATCATAATTGTATTTACAGAAGGCCATTTCCTATTTCCAAAGCTCACTTCTTTGAAAAAATGGGAACATGGTTTTTTTTTTTTTGTGGACATTAAATGAAAGGAAATTTCATGTAACGTTCCAAAATTTTATAATATAGAATTATTTAGTGGTAAGGATTTTCACCTAAGCATATTTTGATAATATTAAAATGTTGATGGACTAAAGTGAAATTGTATTAAACTCAATTTTATTTTAACAAAAAAATTAGATTTTGATAAAGTAAGTATATATCGATATTGGACTCATTGTGTAGATTGTAAGTAATTAGGAGTTGTTTAAACAAACGATTTGCTTTTTTTGAAAAGTAGGCAGATAAGCTGCTATTTTCGAACTTGGAATGTGGAATGTGGCTGATGCCTTGCCTGGCCACCTTTCCCTTCTTGTTGAACATAGCTTATAAGCATTTTAACACTCACTACATTGTCAATGTTGGACAACGTTGTTAATATGAATCAAGTCACTGAACAAAGGACTCTCCTGCTCTGATTTCCTCCCGTGTTACTCGTGCTTGACCATTTGATACCAGTTAATGGAGGCAACACAGATCTTCATTCCTCTGGTAAACATTCTCCAGTTTTGGCTGATATTGTGATTTTTACCATTGCATCCTTTTTCCCCCTAAATTTTGTAATTGTTTAGAGGTTCATTTTGCCAAAAGGGTAATTTTTTATTTGAGAATTAAATCAAAAGAATGGAAAAGTATTTAACGGAAGCAAATAGAATTCTACGAGGTTAAAAAGGCAATTCATATTGCTGATAACTTTTACTCAAAAGGGATTTTCATTGACTAAAAAGGTAGTCTGGTAAAAGTTTACTTGAAAGGGAGCATGCCAGTTTGTTGGCTTTTGTCTAAGCATATTTTTAACAAGTTATTGTTAGTAATTGTGCTTATAAACCGATAGAAATAAGTTGTGGATAAATGGATTTTACTTGTGGGTTTAACGAAATGTGGATAAAAAATGGTTTGACTTACCGTTTATAAACACTTGCCAAACATAGTTTAACTATTGGGAATATGTGATTGATAGATTTAGCATGTAAGTTTAAAGATGAAGATGATTGATAGTTTCTTCTATTTCTTTAGCTATTTAGATTATCTGGTATATTTCTATGTCTCGTTTATTAAGGAAAAAGTTTGTTCGAATAGTTTGTTAATTTTCTTTAGGTCATTTATTCACTTCTAGAATATTCTTTATTGTTCCTTTTCAATGTCAATGTCTCAATCTTTGTTTGTTATACTTTCAGCATCCACTTTTAGTTGTTTATGCTTAATGCAATCTCTAAGTTGAACAATCTCTGTTTTTTGCTTTGAATGAGATTTCTGCTTCATTTTATTCTTTCTTTTTACTAAATTAACTAAAATTATGTGCATTATAGTAGTAGCCATTATATAATAGCTATATTTTCTCCGCGCATTATATTGGTAGATCATTTTAGACAATCTTATAGTGGCCGGTTTGAGTTGATTCCATTAATTCTAGCTATCGGTAGCTTCTTTTTGTATTTTTGATTAAAAATTTTGTTCACTTTGTGGTAGTTTGATGGGGGTAATTGCTAGTTGAAAATATTATCCATTCATGAAAGAATGAAATAGAAATTAATGCAGAATGCATGTTGTCGCGGAAGTACTTCGATTCTTCCACAAAATCAGGTTGTTTTTCAATACCTACAACAATCAAACACCAACAAATCTCGAACCCACAACTTTATTCACTTCAGTTGCCTACTTTCTTGCACCGACAAAGGACACAATATCAATGGTTAATCGCAGCCACAAAGGAGGAAGAAGATGGAGGAAACATTGATTAAACTCAAGCACAAAGAAGAATAGAATAAGTAAAGTCGACTGCCTCAAAGTTTTCTCTGCAACTTACATGGTTGGAGGAAGGGAGAAAGCCACATTATATAGTTTTAGGTTAGGTTAAGTTGGGCCAAAGAATAGATAAACACAAATGGACCATCCAAAAGTGAATTAGGCTATGAGCAACCTTAATTAATCATGCTTCTTCCAATGGCCCAAATTGTTTTCGGATTGAGCCGATCAATATGGTATTGATATAATCAATCCAACCCATTAGGATTGTGCCAATCAATATGGTATTGATATAATTAATCCAACTCATTTTAACATCATCCCCCGAATTTATTGGGTATCAAAACACAACATATAATTCTTTGAATTTAAAAAGGCAATTAATGGTTGATGGCTTAAAGTTTCGGCATTCACTCAAAAGGTAATCAGGTAAGTCACCGTCTTTTAGTTTTTCAAGGACATTTTTCAAAAAAATTGAGATGGTACTCCCGAATATGGATGTACTCTTGAAAGTAGCGTCGCAGAC